GCGCAGTCATCGCTAGCTCTGTGGAAGAAAGAATTCGGCCATTTGATATTTCTGATGTTGGTGTTAAAAGAGAGACATTAACTTGTAATGAGTTGTAATTGCTGATTATTTAAATGACTAAGTCAGTATGCTTTTGTGAATAAGTCAGTACTGAATAAACAAATAAGTCAAAATAATTTTCAGCGACTACAGTTCGTGATGTTGATAAAAGAGAATTATTGGATTGGATAAAAACGACACTGGGTAGTGTCAAAGTCAACGATATAAAGGTTGTTATTCTACTTTGCGTGTTAGACTTTGGATTCGGAATTTTAATTGAATTCGCTGTTCGGCATTCACCTCGTAATGATTCGTCAAATTTGTTCGATTGTAATCGTTATTTCAGTGAATTGTTGTTACTATAACACCTATGATTATTCCTCAGTGTTGTTTATTTTAATATTAATGCTAACTAAAATTCTGTTGGAATTAGCGAAATTCTGTAATTAATTAACGAAAAAATTCTGTAATTCAGTTGGATGCAACTAGAAGAATCAATCTTAAGTTCTGTTGAAAGTAGTAACGGAGCGATCGTAATAATCATTATTTAAGTCGTCGAATCGTGTCAGTGAACATCCATGCATGATCACAGTACGGACAGAGATGGGTATGGCGAGGCATTTGCTGCGAATCGGTCAGATAAAAGACATGGAACACTTAGTATTTTTACAGCCAACTCTTCATGTTAATCTGAATCATCCGATCATATTATCATTATTAAAATTACACAAATCTGATCAACAACTTGCGAAATTACTCGTTGAACAGGTGCAATTTGGTTTATTTCCTCATCTTCATGATTGATTCCATCAACGGTTCACTGTTAAAGATAGCAAGTTGCCACGTATTATTGCATCTGATTCCTTTTAGTGGATATATTTTATTGATAAAATCACAGTAAGATTCACCATACGAATTCAACTGATACTAGCTTCAATGGGATTAAAAACCTGTGCGATTATTAGATTCGCATAATGGCGGTAGTAATGATGACAATGATGCAATAGACGTATCATAATCATTTCTATAGTGTAATCCGATGTTGAT